AGACTGACAGCTGGGAAACCTGCATAAGACTGAATGAACTAGGCCCCCTGAATGTGAGTGGCAGGAGACTTGGGTAGTCTATGGGACCTCTTGCGGTGGAACCAGTATTTATTGCATAAATGGACTTTGGGAGCCCATTCCCTATGGAGGGATACTCTCTCAGCCTAGATGTAAGAGGGAGGACCTAGGCCCTACCCTAAATATGACAGACTTTGATGATCTCCCATAGAAGGCCTCACTCTCCCTTGGGTGGGAGATAGGGGGTGGGATGGGGAGTGGGGGGGCATGGGAATATGGGAGGGAGAGGAAACTGAGATTGATATGTAAAATAAGATTGTTTCTAATTTAAATTTCAAAAGGAGGGGGGAAAAGAAAGAAAAGGTTGTGAGTTGCCATGTGGATACTGGAAACTGAACTCAGTTCCTTTGAAGATTAGCAGGTGCTCTGAACTGTTGAGATGTCTCTGTAGCCCATGGCATACTTTTTAACCAAGATGAAAATGTATGTATATACTTGGCAAAGAGTGTTTGTTTGTATTTTTATTTTTGAGGCAGGATCTCAGTTTGTAGCCCAGACTGACCTGGCACTCACTATGCAGACCAGGCTGACCACAAATTCAGAGATAAGCCTGCATCTCGCTCCTCAGTGCTGGGATTAAAGGCCTGTGGCACCACATATGAATATTCTAATGTTTGTTTATTTGTATTTTGTTATTTGTACATGCCAGAGTGTATGCGTATGCAAAAAGAGCCCTCAGAAGTCAAAGGGGGGTATCAGAGCCCCTGGAACTGGAGTCACAGGGGCTTGTGACATTTCATGTGGCCACTGGGAACTAAACTGGGGTATTCTGCAAGAACAGAAAATGCTTCTAACTACAGAACCACCTCTTCATCCTCTGTAAAGGGAGTTTTAAATGCCTGCTGAGCAGACCCTTTTACTGTGCTTGTGGGAGTTTATGCTTTCCTGAGCCGAAGAAATGAAACTGTATTTCAAGATTTAAAAAGCTTGTGGCCGACTATGACATCATTCATTAACTAGGAACTTATGACCGGAAACATAGGGGGAATGTCTACCTTGAGAGAAACAAATTTCTTACTTTTCACTGAATGTGTTGAGAATTATCTAAATCTGGTAGGGAGAAATAATGAGACCTCTGGAGTCCAGGCTGTGGGTGATCTGAGGCAGACTCGTGTCGTGGGTGGTTCCTGTTGTGTTCTCAGATGAGGTGACTTACTCTTTTGTGCCTATGAAGAGCACAGGATCACAGCCTGGGAAAACTCACAGTGCACCTGCCCCCAAGGTCTGCCTGATCCAGGAGTGAGAATGCAGAGGGTAATGTCCTGCCGCTGACCTGTGAGGATAAGGTACCCGGTCTCTGTGATGGTCTTTGTAATGCCACTGATGGTTGAACTTCTGAACCTTTTGTGGAATGCTGCGGGGTGTGATGGCATATGATTTTAACTGCAGTGATGGGGGAGGGCTTTCTGTATCTGCAAATATGTGTTGCTTTTATTGGTTGATGAATAAAGCTGTTTCAGCCAATGGACAGGCAGGATTTACCTAGGCGGGAAGTCCAAACAAAGAGGCAGGGAAAAGAAAGACAAAAGGAGACACCATGTAGGTACAGTGTCTGGAAGCATGAGGCAGGAGTTCCAATCCCTAGCACCCATGTAGAAAGCTGGACATGGCTGTACATGTTTATAACCTCAGCCAGCATGAACACTGTGGAGACCCCTTATAAATATGCTCTGCTATTTGCTCCAAGGTAGCGTTAGTCTAGATATTCTCCAACCAGCATTGAGAAGGAATGCAAGACGGTGGCATGACGTTCCCCTACCCCCCCACCATGCATGCATGCACACACAGTGACAGGGGAAGCTTCAACAATGAAGGCACACAAGACCAAAGGGAGAAGATTAAACTTTGAAGGCTTCACAGATTGCTGGCTCTCTGAGTAAAAACAGTTTAAACATTAAGTTCTGTGAAGGTGAGTATAGGATCCTTCCAAGTTCAGTGCTAGAGCATTGGGAAGGCCATGTTCACCACAGGTCTCCTGGAGTCTCACATTGCCCACCCAAGCCTGCATGAGCCCGTCGCTCCCCTCCTAACTGCACATGGCGGGTATTCAGCACCCCTAGCTTGGCCTCTCTGTTGAGGTTTGATCTCTACCTCCAAGACCAGTTTCTCCCTGGGAATGGTCCCCTGACCTCCCTCTACTCTCATTTCCTAACAGGAACCTCTGTGGCTTCTGTTGTGGTGTGGGTCTTGTGAGTCCAGACATTCTGTGCCCTCATCTAGCCACTGTGTCCCTAGAGGCAATGTGATAGTTACAGTTCCGGGACGGCCCCTGCAGTGCACCTCAGCAGCTTGGAGCTCTTCAAGGATTCCATCTTTGGGGGCTGGAGAGATGGTTCAGTGGTTAAGAGCACTGATTGCTCTTCCAGAGGACCTAGTTTGGTTCCCAGTACCCACATGGTGGCTCACAGCTGTCTAACTCTAGCTCCAGGAGCTCCAACAACCTCTTGGCCTCCTCTGGCACTACATACAAGTCATACACACACATGCAGACAAAATACTCAAAACATTAAACAAATAAAAAGTTCATCTTCAAAACAATTTTTACTTTATTTGTTGTATGGGAGGGATCCATGTCACAAATGTGGAGGTCAGAAGAGAATCTATAAGAGTTGGCTCTCCCCTTTCACCACATGGGACCTGGGACTCCAGTTCAAACTACAGGCTTGGTGGCTAATGACTTTACCATCTAGTGCTATCTTACTGTCCCAGAATTCCCTGCCTTGCTTCTTAGTCCTAGAGCCCAGCCCTTCCTCTCCACTCCACATGCCAAGGCTCCAGTGTGGTCCCTCATCTCTCCAGGCAACACTGAAAATGTGGCCGACAGAGTTCCAGAGATACAAGTCATCCCCTACTGTCACCCAGGAAAAAGTCAGCTCCTTGTGTCCATCAAGGCCAGCTCTGCTCTACCCTCTGCTATCCCTCAGTGGTCCCCAACTCCTCCCCGGGCCTTAGCCCTTCCCATTCATACCACACTGAGGTTGTAGACAGGTACCACTAATTCCGATCAGTAACTTTTTTGTAAAACTATTTATTTTAAAACTTTAATTTAAAAGTTTTATAGGGCTGGAAAGATGGCTCTGTAGTTAAGAACACTTACTACCCTGGCAGAGGACCCTGATCTGGTTCCCATCATTCCCATGCTAGCTCATAACCATCTATAGGTCCTGTCTAGGGGATCTGACTCATTCTTCTGGCCTCTGCACATGCTGTACGCACATACCTGCACTCATACACACACAATAAACACATCTTTAAAATGTTTTATTGCATTTTGCTTGTTTATCTTGCCTTTGTATGTAGGAATGCACCATAATTCACCCAGAGATCACAGGACTATGTGGGGGAATCTGTACTCCTTCTGTCATGTGAGTCTTCGGGATTGAACTCAGGGTGCCTCCCCCCCCCCCAGTCATCTCACTGGCATGAAACAGTATTTTAATTTATATGATCTAGAAGTTAGGCTGCCCTGACACTATGCCTTCTCCCTTCCTTCTTTTTCACCAGCTTGTAAAACAATATTTTGTCTTCTGAAGAAAAGGAAGGAAGGAAAGAAGGAAGGGAGGGAGGGAGGGAAGGAGGGAGGGAGGAGATTCCTCTTCCCTACTGGGAAAGTATCTTGGATGTATACAAAAGGTTCTTCCTCCAGAAAAATGACATAATATGATTCAAGGGTCATTCCTTTCCTGCTATGAAACAGTATATTGTAAAAAGCCAAACATACAATCCCCCCCCCCCTACAAAAACCACCCCACGGTCAGCCTGCCCCTGGTATGATGTGATTTCTTCCTTTAGACTTAAAACCTCTACCCTTTCTGTGCAGTGGTGGTAGTAACATGACTTTAACCAGTTCCTGCACTGGGGAGGCAGAGGCAGGGATCTCTATGAATTCGAGGCCAGCTTGGTCTATAAGAGTGAGTTTCAGGTCAGTCAGAGCTGTCACACAAAGAAACCCCATCTAAAAATAAACAAACAAAAACGAGAACCCTACCTTGCCCTGCTTCCATACCAAGAGCCTCTCTGAGGCTTTCTGACTCTCGATCAGCCTGCTAATCAAAAGATTCACTGTACCCTCATTAGGCTTGGTAAGAGCGGCAGTCTATAGTTTTCTCCCGTGGTTTATTTCATAACTACTAACATTCCTCTTCCAAGTTGACTAACCCAGAGCCCATCTCCCAGTTCTTAAAGTCAGTCTTCTGTGGATGAGGAGAGATACTTTTGGGGTCCCCATGAATGCACCTTTGGCAAAACTCCAGCCTTAACTTTTGTCAATATGGGGCAATAGGCAGGCTTGGGCTGTTAAACTGGCAGTGGTATGCCATTTCGCTACAACTTCCAGCTGATGAATTTAGGGAGATGAACTGACCAACTGGCTGAGGCGGGGTGGTCTTCTGGGGTGGATACCTTCCAAGTTCAGCCAGAAGTTCGTGTAACTAACACCATGTGTATGGTTGAATGCAGACCTGATACATTCACAAAGCCTTTCCAGGGCAGTTGGTGTTGTCTCTGTGTTAGATTGATATTCAGTCCCGAATATAGCACACATGGACAGCAGGGGAAGGAGTCTGGGGGTTTTAGAACCTAGGGAGAGGCCAACGGGAAGCTAATGGCAGTTCTTAACCAAAACTGGATTGGTTGTCACACACTTAAACCAGCATGGTAAACGGCAAAGTCATGTGTTTTTCGGGAAACATGGCTCCAAGTCTTCCCGGCATCACCCTCCTTGTTGGTCCTTACTTCCACCCTGGGTGACTGCGGCATCCCCCAGCACAGCTTAGCTCTATTCCCTGTTCACAGCCCCAGCCGAGTCCTCTGTTCCTACCACCTTCACCCAGCTTCAGGCAGACTTGGTGGCGAGGAACTGCCTCGCCCCTGCCTCGCTCTCTGCAAAACTCATGTCTGATTTATGAAGTCACATTCGGGGAACTTGGGGGTTCAATCACCCAAGGCCGCAGGCAGTTTAAGGCTGCCCGGAGGCCGTCCTTGCGGGGCGCCCGGCTGCGCGGGGGCAGCAGGCAGGCGGGCGCGCGCGGCGCGGGCGCGTGGCCGAGCGGCATGGCGTGGCCCTGCATCAGCCGACTGTGCTGCCTGGCCCGGCGCTGGAACCAGCTGGACCGCTCAGATGTAGCGGTGCCGCTGACTCTGCATGGCTACTCTGACACCGGGAGCGAGGGGCCAGGCGCGGACTGCAACGCCTCCCGTGGGAGCCCGTCTGTGGCAGACGCGCGGGAGCCTAGACGCGCGGTACCGCTCACCCAGTACCAGCGTGACTTCGGCGTGCGGACCGAGCGCGCGGGACCCCGGGATGCGGCGCAGGAGCGCGTGCCCGGGTCGGGCGGCCGCAGGGGTCAGTCTTCGGCGCCCCCCGCCCGGGCGGTCTACGTGCTGCCAGTCGGGGACGCGGACTCAGCTGCGGTAGCGACCACGTCTTATAGGTGGGTATCTGGCTAAGGCAGGAGAACACTTCGAGTCTCTCGACCAGTGGTGGGAGGTAGCAGAGTGCCAAAGCCAGGTGGGGGACGGGACGATATGCAGCCTGGATATCACAGGATCTGAAGAGTGGCATCTCTTTGGTCTTCTGACACTGCAGGCATGGGCTTGCCTTCTGTGCTTCTCCCTACCCTGGGATCCAAGGTGAAGGATACCTCCAAAGGGAGTCCCCCTTGCTGGTCCCTCCTCCTTCCCTCTCAAATTGCAGCCCTTTACCTTGAGTGGGGTGAGCTCAGAGGACTGTGAACAAACCAACCCCCAGTGTCCAGGGCCAGTGCTTTCTCTGTTCAAGATTCCACTGCACAAAGGGCCTTTGCTCCGTTAGCAGCTCAGCTTTGGACAACTAAGGACTTCCTGCATCCTCTTTCTACTCATAGTGGGAAAATTAGAAATGACAAAAATAAGATACCGCCTTAACACTCTCACCCCCCCCCACCAGATGGATCTTTTCTAATTCTTAATGTACAATGACAGCATGCACACTTGGTTTCTTCCACGGTGCCATTCTTGCTGTCACGTTAAAATCTTTAGTGTGTGTGTGTGTGTGTGTGTGTGTGTGTGTGTGTGAGAGAGAGAGAGAGAGAGAGAGAGAGAGAGAGAACACAAGCAAGCTCTGGCAAAAGACAACTTGATAGAGCCATCTTCTGCCCTGGATTCCAAGGATCCAACTCCGGGTTGTCATCTTGTGCCAAGTGTTTGCCCTCTGGGCAATCTCTGGCACACATTTTTTTTTTTTTTTTTAAACCTGATGTGATGTTTGACCGTAAACAGATAGTCTGAATGTTAAGTGTGCTGTATGTTAGCCTTTTCTTAGGCATACTGCTATATATACCAATTATTTTTTGTCTCATTTGGGATCCCTAGTTTAGGCCTATTTAAAACACTACTACTACCTTTGTTACAGGTGTTTAAATACTTTTATTTGTCGTTTAGATTCCTTGGAGGTGGGATAGAAACTTGGGACTAAACGGTACATGGTGGCTGGAGAGGTGTCTCACCGATTCAGAGAATGGGGGTATAGTTCCAGTGCTCTGACCAGGCATCTTAAAATGGTGTGAAACTCCAGTTTCAAGGAGATCTGACACCTCACTGCAAATACCCACATACAGATGTACACACATACACATAATTAAAATATATTTTTTTTTCCGAGACAGGGTTTCTCTGTGTAGCTTTGGAGGCTGTCCTTGAACTGGCTCTATAAACCAGACTGGCCTTGAACTCACAGAGTTCTACCCTGTCTCTACCTCCAGAGTGCTGGGATTAAAGGTGTGTGCCACCAATGCCCAGCAAAAATAAAATTTAAAACAGAATACAAATGGGGCATATGTAGATGGTCACAGTCCCACTGTCCTAATATTGGGGATGCAGTAGTTATGGGGTTGTGATAGGCTGGGATACCATGAAGCTCCTTGAGTACAGATTGAAATGTATATATACCAAGGAAGTAAATCATGAGGCAGCTTCGCCATAAAGGTACTTAATGGGCATATGCAGTACAGGGCAGGCCTTGTGCACTCTGACTCAAGCTGAACTGTTGGAAGTTAAATAACACTTGCTAGTGGCAAGGCAAACAAGACCTTCTGTTCTCAAGCCCTAGCTGGTGACTGACTGCTGATGTTGGAAACCTGAATCTACAGCAGGTCTCAATAGTTCATGGTCCTTCCAGCGGTTCTACGGGGGTCATTCCAGGGGTCAAACAATTGGTGGGGCTTGCAGAGAAAGGAAGCCATCCTTCATAACCACTGAGCAGCTTGGGGATGTCAGCGCAAGCCCCTCTTCATGGGGAATATTCCAGGAAAGGTTGTTTATGGGATGTTGTTTAACCCACATGGAGCACATGGTAGGCCAAATGTCCTGCAGAGTCCTCTAAGTTCTGTTGCTATTGCTTTCCACTGAGCAGACATGGCTCCACTCCCTGGGACCCCGCTATCAATGAGGAATTGAACTCTAAACAGTAAAGGATTGGGACTCAGACACCAGTTTTGTAGTCCCCACAGGCTCTCTTTCTTTAGCATGGTTTAGACAGCTGGTCTTTGGCCACCTCCTTGGAGCCAGTTTCTCAAAGCCAGCAGTGGAAAAATACTGACATATGGGGCTCACTTTTTCAAATGTAAACTCTGCCATTGGAACCTTTTCCTTCCCTGGAGATCTGGAATAGCAAGAGCCTGGCTGCCAGCCCTCATTCCCCCCCCACCCCCAAGCCCAGGAGCACTACTGACTTTCCCCAGAACCACCCCCAGAGGTGGTCCTCTATAAAACATCTTGTAAGATGTACTTCATCCAAGCAAATTGCTACAGGCATTCAGAAAAGATTCAGGGACCCTATAGATGCCAGAACAGGTCTGAAGTCACTCCTGACCATCAATGCCATGGACCCTCTAAACTTCCATCTCTCCCTGCTAACAGGACCTACTTCACTTGGCTTCTGGTCACCTTGGAAGGCTGATCTGCCTTGTTTGTCTGATCAGATGGGCATAAGGGCCCTATACAGCTAGCTCCTCCCAACGCCTTGCTTAAAAAAAAAAAAAAAAAAAGGGACACCCATTGTGGTGGTGGTGGCATCTAATCCCAGGATTTAAGAGGCAGAGAGGCAGGTGATCTCTATGAATTCAAGGTCAGCTCTGATCTGTAAAACAAGTTCTAGGCCAGCCAAGGCTTTGTTTTAAAAAGCAAAACTAACAAATGTGGCTGATACTTTTTCAGAAGCATAGTGCAGTTTGTATTTTTCCTTATCTTGGTGTAAGCCATAATGCATCTTTCTCCTCCATGAGTAGCTGGATTCTGATGAGTCCACTCTGCCCCTTCTCTATTCCATCACAAGCATTGTCCTGCAACCACCCCAGGAACTGCTGTAGGCTCTTCCTGCTTTGAGTCCCCCTCAGTGCAGCTGACTTAGGCTGCCTGGAGACAGAAGGATATGCTGAGTGGTGGTGGCAGGGAGGCCCTGCCTTTCCAGGAGAAAGAGAACCAGCATATGATTTAGACAGCTGGTCTTTGGAATTTTGATGCTTCAGAAGCAAAATTATCTGACAGGCTCTGGCTCAGTTCTTCCTTACAACCAAGACTCCGAGTGCTGGCCATAACAGACACCAGGTCCCTTGCCCATGCCATCTGCCTGCCCAGTGAAGCGAGGCTCTGGTGCTGCCAAGAAAAGACTCCTTTGTTGACTTCAGGGCATGAGCTGGGCCAGCATAGGGAGAGGGCCTAACACAGACAGGCACTGGCCCTGGCTGAGTAAGCTCTATGTTTATAGTCAAAGGGGGAACTGCCTTCCTGAGTTTACCATTTAGTAGACAATGACAAGAATTAACTCCATTGTCTATTGTTCCTTGTCTGTTCCACTGACAATAGAGGAATTGAACCTTTTCAGTAAGAGGTATGGACTAGCTTAGCTTGTCCTTTCCATTCAGGGAAATGGCTCATGGGAGCTCAACCTGCAGACCAGCTTGGAGGTTTGAGATTACTACTATAATTGATTCTTTTGATTCTTTTAAACACATATTTTTTTAAATGAGATTTTTATTCTTAAAAATCACATGTATTTGTCTGTCCATGTGAGTGCAGTTGCCTGCCTAGCCAGAAGAGGGTGGACAGGCCCCCTAGAGTTTGAGTGCCTAGTGGCTGTGAGACCCCTGATGTGGGCTCTGGGCACTTAATGACTTTGCCAAAGGAGTATACACATCACTGCTGCTATGTCGTCCATGCAGCCCCGTGATTGACTTTCATTTTTTAAAACATTTGTTGTGTGTGTGTATGTGCATGCATCACAACACACGTATGGAGGCCAGATTTGTGAGAATTAGCTCTTCCCCAACTTGGGGCCTGAGAAGTGTACTCAACTCATTAGGTTTGGTTGAGCCTTCTCTTCCAGTTTGTAAAGTTTTACTTTTGCTGTGCTGGATATTGTTAAAATGGCATTTCTTCTGTCCCTAAGCAGGCATGAGGGAGGTGACAGCCTTCTCTGCCCCCCCCAAGTGGCCTGGCATCCAAAAAGACAGCCCCTGGTGTATGAGGGCTTTGAGCACTGGGGCTTGCCTGTCTCTAAGGCAAGTGTGTGTGCACCACATGCTGCCTGATGTTCACCTGCACTGCGGTGCCCAGCCTATGTGGCTGAGGTATCTTGGTGGAGCATTTGGAATGGCAGGGCAGGCTAGCTCAGGGCTACTTTCTTGAGCTGGTCCGTCTGCCCGGAGCACCTGGTGCTTCTAGTCCTGTTTGTGCAGGAGGATAAAAGATCATTAGGAACTGAAGCAGGACCAGCAGTGAACAGGGCTTGGTCTTTTAAGAAGCTGGTGCCCAGGAAATGACTAAGCCTGTGCAAGGTTGTGATTACATTCTGTTGCAGGCAGGAATTCCAAGCTTGGACTGGAGTGAAGCCTTCAAGATCCACAAAGGCAAGATCAACCAGAGTCATCACAACTCACAGCTCTGGGTGGGACCCCAGCCCCAGGGCCAGCTTCCAGGTCAGCCTGAGGGTCGTGCTTCTGGGGCTGGGAAGATGGACACCTGTTGTTCTCCAGGGAGGGGTCAGGAAATAGATTTTGGTGGAATGATGGTTAAGGACAGCAGTGCCCAATCAACTGTATCTAACAGAAAAGCTACCCAGCTTGTCCTGTACTGCTCTCTGGTGAGAGTGCCTGTCTGCCTCTTGTCATGTCCCCTGACTACTAATAGGGCTAGTTACTTTCAAGGGTGGGACTGTAGCTCAGTGGTAGACTGCATGCCCAGCATACACAAAGCTCTGAGTTCCAGCCTCAACATAGCCCTACATGCAAAAATACTAAGACCTACATGACTTAGGCACAGCTCTGTAGTACAGCAAGGGCAAGCTACATGTGAGGCTTGGGGTTCCCTCCAGGACTGCAGGGCTAGTTAGCATCTTTACCCCAACTAAAAGACAAAGGCAGTGCATGTTCCCTACAGCAGTAACAGAGCTCACTTTGCTATCTTCTACTGCCGACTCCTGCAAGGGGCAAGGAATTCTTTTCCCAGAGCCAGGGACAAGTGGAGCAAAGAGCCCACTAATGTGGCCACACTTCTCTTTTAGGTTCCAGAAGTGAGGAAATTTACACCAAATCCCTCAGCCATCTTTCAGACATCAGCTCCCCGGACTCTCAATGTGTGACCAGTGGAGGCGGAGACATGGGAATCATGGCTGCTGGGAAAGCTGAGAAACACCTCCAGACCTCCAGAAGGGGGCCTGGCTTTTCCTTCGCTGACTGGAGCAGTATGGCTGCTGGCTCTGGCTGTGGTATGGAGAGGAGGCAGATGGGCAAAAACACCACCAGCTGCACTCAGCTCTTCCAAACTCCTCCTCATGCAATGGGGGGAAGGAGACTTCATATTTTAAATTGCCATTTGGCACCTTTCAATTTTTAAACGAGGATCAATTTAGCTGCTCCAGACTGAGAAGCAGGCATTGATCACATCCTTGGTAGACCAGTTACCCACTGTGGATGGTTTTCTTAAGATGCATGTCAATTTTATTTGATAACCTATGGTAGTCCCAGATAGTTTTCTCATGTTTCCACAGTGGTCCACATGCTTACATTAAGAAGTCTTAGCCAAGCAGTGGTGGCACACACCTTTAATCGAGTGGAAGTAGAGGCAGGCAATTCTTTGTGAGTCTGGTCTACAGAGTGAGTTCCAGGACAGCCAGGGCTATACGAAGAAAACCTGTCTCAACACGGGCACGCGCATGTGTGCATGCACACACACACACCAAAAAAAAAAAAAAAAAAAAAAAAAAAAAACCAAAAAACAAACAAACAAACAAAAAAAAAACCCCAAAAATTTAGACTGTCACGAGTGATGCCTTTAATCCCAGCACTCTAGAGACAGAGACAGGAGGATCTCTATGAACTCAATACCAGCCTGGTCTACAAGTTTCAGGAGAGCCAGGGCTGCATAGAGGGACCCTGTTTCCAAACAACAAAACCTTAAGTTTGTTTTTTTTTTTTTCCTTTAAGAAGAGTGTGTGTGTGTGTGTATACATATCTATAACCACCTGCACTTGACTGTCATGGTGGTGATATATACCCAGGTAGAATACATACGTACATACATATATATATCACACACAGTGATGAACTATATTCAGGGAGATCATCCACTTGCTGGTTTCAAATTGATTACTTTATAGCCAAGATGATCATGTTTCAGGGAAACAATTACCATGATGAGTAAAATGTTGAAAGCATGAATGGCATTCACCCCATGTTTTTAGACACTGAGCCCTGTGCTACCAATTTCAGTTCTCTCCACAACAAAAGACTAGAAGGAACTATGATGCACGCCCTTGAGGAGCTGGGAGCATGCCTGGAGAGCATCCCCACAGGGACCTTCTCCTTCCTGCCTGCTGATCCCTAACTCTGGTTAGGTACTCACTACCCCACCATGGGGACAACTCATTGCCCTTTGCACAACCACCTCTTGAACACTGAAAGGATTATGTCTGAGAGGCTTGTCAGTTTAGTAAGACTATTAAGGGTTTCCTTCAGAGCCAAGGCAGGGGAGGCAGCGTAGGCTTCCCACACAGCATCCCCTCTAGGGTGCTAGCAGGCCCAGCATCCCTCTTGCCAGCCCAGGAAATGATGAGTCATTCTGAAGGAAAAATTGAAACTATATGCATATACCAAGGGTCCTATTACTCTAAATTTGTCAGTTTGTATGCTCAGTGTTCCTAAGAGGGAAGAGACTGCCTGCTGGGCACCTACATGTAGGCAGTGAGCAGATTTAACAATTTGCTAAAATACAAAAATGTGCTGGGTAACTTAAGTTATAAACTCAAGTATATTCTTTCCCATTCATGTGGTCTCTCAATAATGACTTTAATATAGTGTGACTATGCTGATATCCTCAACACTTGCAAACTCCAAGCCCTTCTTGCCTAGGGCTGCATTGACTACAGTGTTACAGGTGGTACCTTCTTCCCAGTTCAGCTCTCTTGCACCACAATGGGAGCTGTGAGGGGAGCTGGGACATTGGGAACTTCCATTGCTGCATCTGAAAGTGAGGCTGTCCCCTACATCTTGCTGGCTTGCTAGGAACATGAACGCTTAGCACAGTAAAGTCAACCAAGCATGGCTCCTGAATTGTCCTTTCCTGTTACTTCTCTTCCAGGTGCCCTTGGCCCTGCTGTAGCCACTGGCATGCCCCAATGTCCATCCCATTATGTTCCACACCACCCCAACCCCATGCATTCATTCTCTCAGTGTAGATACATGACCCTGTTGCATTTGGCCAGCATAAAGCACGTCTGTTGAGTGACTGTAACCTCTGCCAGTCACAGGTTGTTTAGAACCTTAGCAATATGCCACATAGCTCTTTCCACCAGACCTCAATAGGCCACAGAGCTCCATGAACAACCCAAGAAGCAACCAAGACCAATGTCAGCCATGTTCTCTTGCTCTTCTGAGTCTACTGTGCACACAATATGCACAAAGGCCAGAGAAATGCACTAGAAGATCAGTAGGGTTCATCTCTGAAGAGTGTGTATGTATTCCTGTATGTGCAGGCACACGTGTGTAATCCTTTGTGTATGTTTGTGTTCCTGTAGGTGTAGGTAAATGTGTGTGTTCCTGTGTGTGCAGTTACATATGTGTGTATTCCTGTATGTGCAGGTACACGTGTAGAGGACAGGACAACTAAAGTGTTTTTCTCATTGGTCTGGAGGTCACCAAGTAAGCAAGGCTGGCTCTAGAGCAGGCCTCAAAGGATCTGCCTCTCCTGTGCTCAGATTTTTTATGTGGGTTCTGGTGGCTGAACTCAGGGTACTGCACACTTTACCAACTGAGCCATCTCTCCAGCCCTAATGTTTAAAAATACTTTATCAAACCTGCTAAAATTCCTATAAAATTTAATAATTTTTATATTCTGTAAATTTTAAAAAATAAAGAGCTGTTTAATCTGTTCATCTGAGCAGTGTTCAATATTAATTTATCCCACAACCACAGTGACCAATGTGGGAATTGCCTTAACCAGCTGTATGTACATTATGAGGCTGATTAACAAAAAGTCCTGAAGGTCTTCTCACTTGGTGAAGGAGGGTCTTACCTCTCCATGCTGAATGGGACAGAACTCCAGGACTTCTGGCGTCTGCTGGATGATGTATGTTCCACCCACCCGAGGCCCAAGGAGGGGCTGTTGGCACCCACCCTGGCCTATGTTCCAGCTAACTTTATTCTTCAGGGCTCTTTCTCACTGAGCCTCTGTGAAGTTGCTTCCCAGCAAGCTACCTCTGTAGACTGTATCCCTATGCCTTCTCACAGAAACTCCCTCCAAAAGCCAGGTTTCAGAGCCTCAGTTTTGGAGTGTCTGCACCTTTTGGTAACTTCAAAAAGCCACAACTGTAGATGACAATAAAAGGACTGTGTCACAGGAGTGGCTTTCAAACCTCAGCACAGGCCAACTTTATCTCATATGACAAACCAATTTACTTAAGTTTCTGATTTTTTTTTTGAGAAGTTGAACCCATTTATGCATTTTTCTTAACCCCAAATTGCTTATATGAAATGATTATGTCCATGGTCACCAAGTGAACTTGTCTTCTGTTTTATATGTGACCTGAATGTAACTATGATCTATTTATATTACATAATTGCAGATTCCTTTTTGAAGGAGAGTGTAATTTAAACTCACAAGGACACATACCATGGCCGATTTTCAATGAGCCCATTTAAATATGGTGCTTCCAGCTCAGAAAACCCATCACAAATACTAAAAGTTTTATTGTAGACAAAATGATACACAATTATGTTACACATTATGATAGAAAAACACTTAAACATTAACATACATGGAGACTATTAAATCATTTGATATTTCTTTAGTCAAAAGCAATGTCTTTAGGTTTTCATCACAAATGAATCTGCTCTCATTTGGATATTCCACCGTGTAGGTCTCTGTCCACTTTTGAACAAATCTGTGTGTGGGCCTATCAATCTGTGGTGCGGTCTACAGACTGAATTCTTAAGTGTTATACACCAACTATACCATGCTTGTCTTATCCCTGCTGGAAAGATCCCTTCTGTACCTGCAGCTCTCAGGCATGTATTATCCAGATACCTTCCTGTTTTATTTCTTGACACACACACACACCCATCTAGGGGCCTGGGAGAACAGGCTTCTGCTGCTTAGGTAAGTTTGACTTTGTCCCCCCAAGAGTTAGAAGCCTGGAGAATCCCCAGTCTATATACTGCTGCTGCTAACAACCTTCTATCTGCCCCTCACAGAGCAGCTCTACTCCCAAGGCTAGTATCCTGGGTTAGAGCGGTTCCCTCCCCTGGTAAGGCACTCACAGGTGTTTCAACCCTTTTCATCTCGGGAAAACTCTTTGGCAGAGAAGGACAGGACCCTAGGTCCACCGAGAGGACAATCCCAGGAAAGCCTGCCCTGGGGCTGCCTCCCTGGCCCCTGGAGCCAGGAGCTTCTGCAGCCCACATGGATAGGAGGCCCCAGTGTTCAGATCACCACTGACCAAGTACCTGACTTTGTGGATGATGCTTACACTAACAGTGATAGTTTCCTGGGGTACATGGGAACAGGTTTGATGCCTTCTGATCTCTGCTGGGATCTTCAACACTGCTTTGACACTGGCTGTCACAGAAGCACTGGCCCCGGGGTGCCATGAAAAAGTCTCAGTCTGCAGCCTTCTTGGTCTCTGGTTTTCCACATGGCATACTGCCCTTTCTATAGTTGACTCACACTGGCCCAGCCCTTCCACACTGAGGCAAGATGGGAGAAGCTACTTGCTTGTTCTGTTCTTCTTTAGAGTACCCCAGACCAATATGTCAGGTTGATCTCTGCCTCGTGGAAAGCAAGCCCCAGGTGAACTTAAGTATACTCCAAAGAGGGAGCATCTTATGTATATGCCTTGTCTCATGCTAAGACCCCTTCAGAGTCTATACGGAGTAAAGAAATGCAAGCTGACAAAATTGTGTTCATTTAGCTTCCCTCCAAAACTGAGAAACAACTCAGTCTTCAAAGGGCTGTACCTGGGACTCAATGGCCTGTGACACACGCAGTTAGATAGAAGGAATGGTATGGTAGCCATGGCATTCTGATGCACAGAAATCACCTTTCCCCAAATACAAGGGTCACCACAGTTTGCACACTTCAGAAACAGCTTCCCAGCCTGCTTTGTGGGAACCATCTTCACTGTATTCACT